CTCCATATGAGTCGAGATCTCCATATGAGTCGAGATCTCCATATGAGGCACCATTTTCATTTTATACATCACCATTACCTCCTCAATCAACTTTTATTAATAATGCTTCTCCATATTGGTTTTTTTAAAATGTAATTTTTTTTTTCCAAAAATTTGTTTTTGTTTCTATTTTTTATATATGTAGAAAAATCGCGCATTTATATTAAATAGAATATTAATGACTTTTCATATATATCTTGTAGCAGGTCATACTTATGAATTAAATATAGAAAATATGAAAAAAATTCCATCATTAATTTTGAATAATTTTGTATATATGAAACAATTTTATGATCCTATTCGACAAGTTTATTGTATATCACGTAATCGTGCTTTTTTTGAAATACTTGTTTTCTATATTAATCATGGCATTTTATCGAGACCTATTGATATACCACTTGTATGTAAATAGAAAAAAAACAAAATAATTTGAATGATATCTATAATAGGATTTATATATTGAAGAACTCGAGTAAGTTGAGTATATATTTTTTTTGGATTGTTTTTTTCAAAAGGTAAACGAATTCATACTTGGGATGTAGATGAATGTGATTGAATGGATGCAGAGAAGATGTATACTCATATTTAGCTCCTCGTGCACTTTTCTAGAGATGCTGTATAATAAAATATCATTAATATCGGAAAATCGTAATGAATCGAATTCCGAACAGAGCCGAACATTTTGTTTAACCATTGAATGGTCTCTATGCATGATGAAAAACGTAAAGAGTCTGCGTGTATCATTGAACGGATATACATGTTCAAACTATAAAAAAAAGTTATTGGTCATTCAACTTTTTGACTTAAAAAAAAGTATTAGAGCTAGTTAATCAATAACAATTGAATATATAAATTTCAGTTATTACTTTGTTGAACATAATTTTTTATCAAAATTAAAAGAAGCTTATGATATTCCTCAAATATCAGATACAACTGAAATTCGTTATTTACCTCGATCATCAATAAAAAAAATTCTTTGGCGTTCAATGGAATATAATGAAACTTTATTTGGTCCATTATATCGTTTTATATTTGGTTTAATATGTATATGTTCAATATTTTTATTTATGTATGAAATAATTGTAACAAGAAATGAAAATTTTCTTGAATTTATTGAAAAATATCGTGGTTATTTTCAAAATATCATACATCCTGTTAATGTAACTGTACATGTTATTGATTATCGTCCTGATATAACACGTTTAGCATTTTCAATTGAAATTATATTTATTTTTCTTTGGACTATTGAATTATTTCTGCGTATATTTTCTGCACCAAGTTTATACCTTTGTATAAAATCATTTTTTTTCTGGTAAAAAGAAATGTTTAATTTATCCCAAAATGATCTCTGGTCCAATTAGATCTATGTTACTTGTTTGTACTATGTTCCCAGCGGTCGAAATAATCAATGACTGTTGTATGTACATTATACTGGGCTGTTGAGGATAACCAGCTCTTCTTATCTTCGAAATACATATGTTAGTCTCCACGCAGGCAAAAAAAATCATAAAATCATTTCTCGAGAGTATTCTCATTGAGATTTCTTTATATGGCCAGTGTTTTTCCCTCGATGTTTTGATGCTATGTTGAATTACTTGAAAAAGTGATATTGATCTATGTGACAGTCATTGATTACTCTTTCAATCGATCTGTGCAAATACAAATAAGTGCTATATGACTAATTCTACCAGAGCTAATTTTCGAACATCTTATTCGATTGTTTAACATAGAAGAAGTCAAACTAAATATTTTTCTTAGGATTGATATAATTAATATATTAAATACAATCCTTTATGGAATATTTAGTTTAATATATAATCGTCAAAAAAATCTTTTAACTTATCATATTAATTCCATGACATTGGTCTTTCAATTAATTGATATTTTTAAAACATTAAGAATGTTGAAACTTGGAAGATATCATAGATCAATAAAACTTATTCTTGAATCTCTTGGTTAGTTTTCTTCGACGAAACAAGAAAAACAAAATAAATTCTTTAATTATTTTAGGAGAAGCTTCAATGGATTTTTTAACATTTAGCATTGTTTTAATAGGTAATAGTTGTGTATTTGGTGCAATTATTTATTCAATTGAACGAACAACAAACCCAACATCGACTATACTTTTTCCAAATGTTGGAAATAGTGTTTATTATACATTATTAGCTATTACAAATGTTGGTTTTGAAGGTTTTTTACCATCTACTTATTTAGGAAAATGGATTGCTTGTGCAGCAATTACTTTTGGTCTATTAACAAGTATGAAAACTAAAAGTTGTTTTTCAATTTATTTTCTTAATAAATTGTTTTTGTTTTGCTTATATTAGTTAATATACCATTACCATTGATTTTATCACCATATACACGACAATTACTTATTAAAAATAAACATATTATTTATCGAAATGATTTTGGATAGAATATTAAACTTATTCGAGTCAAACACAACTACGAATATGCTCAAATAGTGAATTAGTACTAGAAGTGCCAGAGATTAACATCATCTCTTTTTCTCGTGATTCAAACACATATGCTTTAAATTATCACATCTCGTGCGATAAAATTATTTCAAAAAAAGAATATATAAAAATCTCAAAGTCTTGCAAAACTCAAGTTTCTGTAGTTGTTAACTAGACATTATTTTATTTTCTGAAAGCTTCAATCAATTGCATAGTTTATACTAAAGTATAGAAAAATTAGCATTAGTTTGTAGCCTTAGTTGTAGCATTCATATTATTATTGTATTGCACTTGATAGATACGATTGTTACCATCGTCAGTAAATAATAAACTACCATCCTTTAATACAAGTAATCCAACAGGAAGTCCAAATGTATCAGGTCCTGATGGATTGACAAGAAATCCAGTAACAAAATCTTCATAATATCCCTTTGGTCGGTTAGTTGTATTATCGAATGGTATAAAAACAATTTTATAACCTGTACCAGTATTTCTATTCCATGAACCATGTAATGCAGCAAAAGCACTATTTCGATATTTCATTGGAAATTGAGTACCTGTATAAAAACATGTATCAAGTATACCTGAATGAGCTTGAAAAAGAACATCAGGTGTTCGAGTTATTGATACTAGATCAGGTCGTTCACTTGTACCATTTTCTAGACGACGTCTAGGATCAGTTAAATTTGAACTTATATAAGCATAAGGCCATCCATAAAAATCATTTTGTTCAATACGTGTAAAAAAATCAGGTACAAGATCATCACCAAGTTCATCTCGTTCTTGACATGTTACATATAAATCTTTTGTAATCGGATGAAAAGCTAAACCAACTGGATTTCGAAGACCATGAGCAAATGTCTTTTGATTAGTACCATCAAGATCAGCTACTTGAACTGAAGCTCGTGGTAATTGTTCAACATCAACATTCGTTCCTGAACCTATACCAATATAAATACGATCAGTATTAGGTGATACAACAACAGTTCGTGTCCAATGACCACGTGGATCATAAGTCACTATTGATTCACCCATTCCAGATATTTGTCGACTACCTGTTGTCCATGGATAACGACGAGTAGCATTTCGATTACCAACATAAAAATATCCATGAGCAAAAGCCATACTATATGGTAAATGAAGTCCATTGGATGCATCAGCAAATGTAGTACGTTCGTCTGGATAACCATCACCATCATTATCTATTAAACATGATATTCGATGAAGTCTTGGTTCACTAACTAATATATCGCCCGTTGGTGTGTATATAAGGTAACGTGGCATAGTAAGTCCACTCATATATAACTTAACTGTAAATCCATCAGGAACATAAAGCATCGGATCTTCAGGAACGGGAATTACATTGGCATCTTTACTAAACGATAGTGTAGCATATGGTTTTGGAAGATCCTCTACTGTTATATGAAGAGGTTCTGGAAGGAAAGTAACATTTTTAGCGTTAGTTTCATGTTTATAGACAATAGTTATAAACACAAGTTGTATATAAAAATGTCGTAGAAATTGTGATGATAGCATTTTTTTTTTGATAAACTTACAATAATAGTTATCGCTTATTATGCCTTGAAGTAAGCAAATAACAATTGATATAAATAGAAGATATCATAAGTGTTCTGTGATTAAATAGGTTCTTTTTGTTTTTCTTTAGTACATGAATCTTAGATAAAGGTTACCGCAGCCTATTACATATTAAGATTTCGAAAAGAACAAAAAAAAAGTATCTAAGTGGATCAAACCAACTGACAAAATAAATGTCATTGAATAAGAAATAATAATATAGAATAGAAGTGAGAATTGTTGTCATATGATATATTAATTCAATTGACATATCAAAGAGAAATGATGCTGTTAGTTGAAATAGAAAGAAACTATTTTTCTCTAAAAACATCTGTTATCTTTGACACAGATGATGCATTGTTCTACTATGTGGAAAATAACATTTTTATATACGTCAAGATTATGAAATTCCTGCTTCCAAGTTCCTCCCATGTTTTCGAGTTTTTCGGCAGAAACATGTCGAGTATTGCTGGACATCTATTAGCGACATCTAGATCTCACTAAAAAAAATAATATCTTTCATTCATTTCAATCAAACAATAAAAATTTGAATAATAAAAAAAAAATTTTTTTCTTTTCTTCTTAACAATGAAACAAAATCCATAAGGAGGAAAGATGAAAATAAAAATTGAAATTTATTTGAATATATTCAACCAATTAACAATCACATTCAATCCTCTATGACATCAACACAACATTATAACTTTTTTTCCTCTCTCCTTTCAGCTTCTTCTTCTTCTTCTTTTCTCTCTCTCCCATACAATATGTATGCGAACGGCAACATCATTGTGTCTTTCTCGCTCACTCTCGTCATATAGAGGGACATACAGACGCCGAGTACATATCACAATATACCTACATTGTTCATTTATTTAAAAAAGACACAAAAAATAACACATTGTTTATTTTTGACATATTTTTAGTATTTAACCAAACTACCCAAAAAAACCTTCATTCGTCCAATAAGTGACGATCAAAAAAAAGAAAACAAATAAAAACGCAAAAAATTTGATTTCATTTTCATCTTTTTTTTATTTATTTATTAATCATCGCTGTCCACAAAAAAGTCAGCAATTGTTTAAAAAACATTGCTTTTAAAAAAGTAATCTAAAAAAAAAATAATAATAAATAAACAATTTTAATTTATATCTTGTTTGTTTTTTTCTTCTATTTTATGTTATTAAAAGATGAACCGGAATCAACTTTTTATATAAAAATTACATCAAAATATATATATATTTGTTCTTATTATATTATTATTATTTATTCTTATATGCAACCAATGAATACAGATCAACAACAATATTATGCTAATCCAGCAGCACATCAACAACAAGCAACTGGTTATTATATGCAAAATAATAGCATGGAACAACGTAAAAAAGAATTCAAAAAAAAAAAAAACAAATCTTTTAATAAATATTTATTTTCGTCTAGAATATCCACCACAATTAAGAAATCCACAAGCATATGCATCAAGAATGAATCCTCAACAAGTAAATTTTTTTTTTGAATATTAATTTAAACAAATCTTTAATATTTTCAGTATATGAATCCACAAATATCAAATGGTTACTCTCAACCATTTTTTGTTCCACAAGGATTTCAACAACATTCATATATGCCTACACATAATCAACGACAAATGGTTAGTCTCAAACAAAAAAAAACCACTGAAATTTAAAATATTCAAAATTTTATTTTCTTAATAGAATCCTTCACAAATATCAATTATTCGACCACCGAATGAAAATATAAATGCTTATCCATCTTTTATCCCACAAAATGGATATCCTCCAACATATGCACCAACAAATAATAGTCTTCCACCAACACAACCTGTTTATCAACAATTTTATCAGAGTAAGTCGTTTTTTTTTTCTTGTATACTTTCTAAAAATCAATAAATTTTTCATTTCATAGCTTATCAAATACCAACAAATTATCCAACACAACCAGTACCACCACAAATGTCTAATCAAGGACAAATACCACAACAATCACCATATCAAATTCCTAGTTTACAACAACAACAACAACAACAACAACAACAAATTCTAACAACACAACCAACTCAACATTCACAAGTAAATAAGTTTTATCTTTTTTTGAAAAGAAATTCAAAAAGATTTTATTTTTTTCTTATATAGATTGATCAATCAACTGTACCAACATCTCAGCCTCCAATTGTATCAACTATACAACAACAGAATCTATATCCATCAGCAATACCATCAGTGGCTACTGAAAAACGAAAAAGAAATCCATTAGTTATTGTTGATCCGGTATCACATAAACCGGTAGAACTTACAACACAATCGACACATACATCAACTCCAGCTACGACCACAACATCATCAGTATCATCTACAACAGCAACTAATGAAAATCATCCGATTGAATCGACAACAACAGATTCAGTTGCAACCACAAGTACTAAATCGACACATGATCCAAATAAAACACAAATACAAGCTGATTTTCGACGACAATTTGCTGAAAGATTAGTCGATACTTCCAATATTCAAACAGATAAGGTATAAATATAGATGAGTTTTGTACTGTTCTATTAAAAATCCAAGAGTTGAAGAAGTTATCGAATTTTCGAAGACATTATATAATGTAAGCAAGATATACGCCAGCAGATTCTGATGTTCCTATTTCATTTTTTGTCATTAAGAACTTTGTGTATCAACATTTAAGTAAATGTACTTTCAGAAGAAACTTCGAAAAATACATACTAATCAATGTTCTCTGATACAGTTGAGGAGATTCTCTTGATGAGTTCAAACAGTTCACATAAAAATGAGGTTTATCATTGTCATACATTGTGTGTATGTATTTGTGATGAGTACATTCTCGTCACTTTACTATATAGGTGTAAAAGTTGGATTATGACATTTAAATTGAATCATTGATTTGCTTTTCTAGAATACAAGTCAATCATCAGCAGCATCTACAGGACCAACTGAAGAATCATCTGGTGCTACATCAATAAAACAAAATTCAAATAAACAATCTGAAACTAGTGTACAACAATCAACATCATCAGCATCATCATCTCGATCAGGTTCAATATCACGACCTAAATCTCCGATATCAATACCGTCAAATGATACATCAACAACAACTAGTAAAGAATCTACATCAAGTAAATCATCTGAACTACCACAACCAGGTCATCCAGGTATATTGACAAGAAATTTAACTGATGAAAAATTAACAACTAAAATTACTCAAGATGATATAAAGGAAGAACGAGATCGTAGTGATTCACTAAAACAACAAGAATCCGAGCCAATTGAAACAATTGAAAAAACAAACAATGATGATGATGATGATAATAATAATAATACTACAAAAACAACGGTAAACATACATGTTT